GGGGTTTATTAATCCAGGGTTGACATTACTACCTTTATATTACAAATTATATTCCCACGAAATGACCCAATTAATTTCCTATATGAATCCCATGTATTGTTCATGAATGGCAAACTTGGGGGTGCAGTTGGATTTTTTTTTATGGGTATACATAACTATAAAAATTGTTAACCTAAAAAAATTGGGATAAATTTGCAAAATTTCCATCGAGGAATGCAGTGCTCATCTCCATACCTTCTGTGGAAGACTCCAGTTTGGCACCTGAAGGTTGTGGCAGCTCGCAGATGAGGGCTTGGACGGGTGGCTATCCCTGTTTCAATGGATTGGTTCCCCCTATATTTCATGGGAAAATCTATGGTTTCCTGTAGATTTTCCCTTGAGAAAATCCATTGACTGTTGATCTTAACGAGTCTTGACCGTTTGTTTACACTGGAGGCTTCTTGTGGAGTTGTAACAGTTGCTAGATGTCAAAGAAATGATATGGAATACAATTCATACTATCGACTGTCCCGCAATAGTGTGCCTAAGGCCGATTTTTTCCATGTTTCACGTATGTACAACCATCAAATAGATTCAATTAGTCTTTTCACTTCAGCACAGGAGAGCCCGCCCCCAGTCAACTACACATCAAATAACCACTTTAATGAACTAACTAATCCAATTACCCGTGAAATTTGGAGGTTTGCAGACAAGCCCATTTATTGGAGCTATACAGTCTATACAGTGGTATTTTGTTCCAGCCAGTATATTGTCTCCAATAGAACGATTTCATATATATATATATATGTATATTGATGGGATAATTTTGATGGTGAAATGCCTCCAAAAAGACATCCAAAAAGACATGTTTTGTTGGTATAATCCAAAACAAAATCACATTTTGTTGGTACAATCCACCAAACAAAATACGTTTGTTGGTGAAATCTACATGTTTAGTGTTTGTTCGTTGATTCGCCATGGTTAGAAAGTTGCCATCAGGAGTTTTGCATGCCTACACGCCTGCCACGGAGCGACTTTCTTTTGCGCTGCCAGGGCAGGGGATTGATTCCGGGGAAGCCTTGAATGTGTACCTTCTGTTAAAATAACATAGCTATAGAAATCACCATTTTGAATAGGTAAATCAACTATAAATGCGGTGTGTTCAATAGCTATGTTAAATTACCAGAGGGTGATTTATTCTTCTCATCTTCCTAATATTAAACAGCCCCATTCTATGGTCCCAAATCTGTGGTTTCATGTGGTTTCATCTCTTGCGTCTGGGGGGGATGTTCAACATTAGGAGGGATGGGAATACTTCAATGCTTTGCTGCGAATGACAGAAATAGGGAACATCTATACTGACAACCATTGACTGAACTATTTTTTGCAGGGTATCTGAGGTTGGTTATGGATGCAAACATTGATATCAGTGGGGATAGGTGCTGAATGCGGACCAACAAATGGGGCCCTACCAGTTTTGGAATTTGGCCCCTCTGGTGCCAGCAAAAGAGGAGGAGGAAATCAAGTGACATGGGATTTGATTCAAAGATATCGGTACAGCGGAACCGTTAGATAAGAACCGATTAAGAATTTTCCAGCCTACCCTTGGGTTTTTAGTGCTATAGGTGGAAAATGTGGGAATTATGAACGAGGGTACCCTCAAGTTCTTAACGGGTTAGTTCTTAAAGGGTTCATGTGGTGAGGGTTTTGCCAATTCATTTTGGCGTTAACTTTTCCCGTTTTTCCACCCTCTCTCTGGTGCCTTTTATTCAGTTGTTCTTCCCCGAGTGTCCCATCGACCCCCCTTATTGCCGTTCTTCTTGACTCTTTGGCGTGGTATTAGGTTGCAAAGGAGGCAGGGGGAAGAAAAAGACTTTTTAGGCCCCGATTTGTTTCTTCAGGTGCAGGCATTCCAAACAGAGCTATAGGCCAGATATTCCACCATGCCAGGGTTTGAAAGTTTATTTTGGCGTGGTATTAGGTTGCAAAGGAGGCGGGGGGAAGAAAAAACACAAGCCAAGGGCAGCATTTGAAGTCAGATGGCCTCTAGTGAGTCCGGTTGGTGTCGGGCTCTCAGGTTGTTGTGTTTGGAGTTCCAGTCCCTGTGGCGCTAGCGATTTGCTTGCTTCTTGCTTTCATATATCAATAATCAATGCTTGGTATATTGATACCCGTTCAAGGGGAATAAGAACCAGTGGTTAGAATTCCAGGGTACTGTAGGCTTCTTATTTCAATTAGCTGACATAAAGGGTTGAATCCAGCAATCCAGCCCCTGAAGTTCTTATTGCAGTGGGTTCTAGGTCAATCTTACATGGGTACTTTAATCCTTTAGTCTTTTGGTATCAATGGGAATATCTACTAACCAGCAGAGATTTTTTTTGCAGGGTATCTAAGGTTGGCAATGGGTTCCTAAACAGTGGTTTCACTGTACCTTCTTGATATTTCAGACGATCCCCGTAAAAACTATACTGATAAGTTTTATAAATCATATTGAATCATGCTACATTCACATGTTGTTTACTTATCATTGGTTGTCAAATCCCAATGTCTATTGGTTATATGCAGTCGCTGGATGATCATCCAACTACCCTCCGGCCTCCGACAACATGGCAATGGAAAATCCCTGCGCTGAATGAAGGTGTTAATGGAAAATCCTTCAACAATAGAGGATTTTACAGCTAGCCATGTTTGATTGCCGGAGGGTACTACAAACCTAGATGACAAAGATTAAAGCAGATTGCATATTTATAGATGATTTTCCCAGCTTGAAACCTCCATTTAGATGCCGGATTTTTTCAGCCATCACTAGAGGTTACAGGATGGGGCCCCCAGTCGATAGCGTTCAGTTGAGAGATTAGTGGTTTAACTATGGTTTATGGTAGATATAACTGATATAACTGATATAACTGATATAACTATATATCGTTATTGGGTTTATAATGGTTTATAAATTTCGCCATTGATTTTTCGCTGAGAACTTCTCCAGGAGTCTTGGGACAGATGGAAGAACTTGGACCGCAGGTCGGAGGAGTACAAGGCTGGTTTGAACGGGCCATCTGAGGTCCTTAAAAAATTAGGGTACCCTCTGGTAAACGTATACAAAACTATGGAAAATCACAATTTTTAATAGGAAAACTCACTATTTTTATGGCCATGTTCAATAGCTAACGTTGTATGTTTACCAGGCCGGGTATCAACAATCAACCAACAAAAATTGAGATTCATGGGACTTTATAGGAGATTTATGGTAAGTTGCTTGAAATAAGTAGTTTGACGAGTGTTTAAGGCGAGTATAAGTATAGTTAGATAATACATGTATTAGATACCCTCTGGTAAATAAACATAGACCCTGAAAATCACCATTGTTTAATGGAAACTAGTCTTCCAACCCCTATCTGCCAGGGTCTATGTTAATTTATCAGAGGGTAATACATGTATATGTGGGGGATTTGCTCATGTGGGGTCAGTGGGGTCTAATTAATAATTAGGGGCTAACAAAAATGTTAGGGGCATGATAGGGATGGGATTGTCTTCCGACTGCTGTAAACCAACTTTCCTATCATGATTAATTATCAGATATGGCTTGAATCCCATGTTTGTTTTGGTATATGTTGGGTTATATTATGTTATATTTACCACATTATTGGCCCATTATTGTATCCCTTTTTTTGCTTTCTTACTGTATTTTGTTGATCAACTGAGTAGTAACTTTCTAACAAAAAATGGCCCAGACTTTTTTACACAGTTGTTTTTTCAGTTTGGTGAAGCTCAGGTCTTGAAGGAACAACGTGCGGAATACCTTTGGAAGCAGCTGGAAAGGCCAATCCCCGACATCCGGCAGCGCAGCAAGGCGCAGCGACGGGATGATGTTTGACAGAGACCCCCAGGCGAATGCTTGGCGAATGGTTTATAAACTAGGAAAACCATAGGAAAACTACGGTAACGACATTTAGATATGTGGAGGGCGGGCCAGACCGCGAGGCCCCGGAGGTAGTATGAAATACGAGTTCGTATATTTAAATGTAGTTAGCGTATGTTCAATTTAATTGGATTCCGTATGTTTAAATGGCCGGGCGGGCCAAGGAAAACCTTCTCGGAGGTAGTCTAAAATACTTGTTCGTATATTTAAAAGTCCGTATATTTAAATGTAGTCTCCGTATATATAAATCACCTATAAACTGAGAAAACATGGGAAAACCCATAGCTAGGTCAATCTTAGATGTGTAGAAACTGATCCTTTAGTCTTTTGGTATCAATAGGATTATCTACTAACCAGCTAAGTTTGTTTGTTTGCTAGGTATCTCAGATTGGCCATGTTTAGTTCGTACTTTCATGTTTTGTCAGATTTTTTTTTGGTCTCAGTTTCAGGGACATTGGTCCCAAGGCAGTCGATTTGATGGGCCAAGAGTTGAGTTACTAACCACCGAAACGCATATGTGCCATCGTCAAATCATGGATTGTTTTTCCATCAAAGGGGATGGTCACTTATCCATCAATAGGGATTTTTACATTTATGATTAATTGTGGTAAGAATACCCACTTTTGGGATGGATGACCATATCCCATATGACAGGGTCTTGACCAGGGAATAATTTTTGAGCAGGTAGCTATGATTAGTGAATGTGATGTAATAATTAAGATATAATTGAGTGGGTAGACCTGAGCGAAGGTTGGGTGAAGATGTATTCTTAGCCAGGAAGAGGGAGAATGGATCCAGCTAAAGACATACTTTTTGTACATGGTATTTTTCAATGTTTTACCACAATTTTCGGAATATTTGATGTTTCAAGTTAAACATTTAAAGCTAAGTTTTTCAGGAATTTCCAGATTTATCATCATAGATGTCCTTTTCCCATTGGTTGGTTGATAAATAGAGGGCTTTGAAGAAACCCCTTTAACAATAAGTAAATGATGACAGATGGTATACCAGCTCCCGGTCCCTCTATTTCTACCAAAAGGACAGTATATTTATGTATTGTTCTCATCTTCCTAATATGAAACAGCCCCATTCTATGGTCCCAAATATGTGGTTTCATGTGGTTTCATCTCTTACTTCTGGGGGGGATGTTCAACATGAAAGGAGGGATGGGAATACTTCAATGCTTTGCTGCAAATACCCCCAATAAATCACCATTTTGGATGGTAAAAATCCCTATGACATCCCCATTTATCATGGTAAGCCACACTATCTGTGCACCAATTCCAGGCGGGGAAGATCTGGAGGAAGTTGGTCATGAATAATTCCAGCGAGAAACCTGTGGCAGATATCTCCACCAGAAACCTGGTACCCGACATGGAAAACCATAGGAAAATGGTGATTTAATGGTTAACAATGGTGAATTTCATGATATGGTACAGTTTGCTATTGAAAATGGTCATTGAAATCGTGAGTTGTCCCATAAATCGTTTTTGTTGTCCCATTAAAAATGGTGATGTTCCATAGTTTTTTGCAAACGTTTACCAGGCCGGGTAATCCAGTAAATCGATGTAAATCTCGTGGTTCGCCTACTTCAAAACCAGCGTATACTTCCCTACACGGACCAGCACCTTGAAAATCCATGTTGCTTCAAACATGTGCAGAATCGATGAAAGGCCAATTTTTTTTAGATTTCATTTCATATATTTCATGGTTTACCCTCTGGTAGTCTGGTAATCAAACATGGCACTGTTAAAGTCCTCTATTGAAAAAGATGATGTTCCCAGCTATAAACCTCCTGGTTGGTGGTTTCAAACATTTATCATTTTCCATTTCATATATGGGATGTCATCCCAACCCCATTGACGAACTCCATCATTTTTCAAGATGGGCACATTGCACCACCAACCAGCCTCCATTTAGTGCGGTGATTGTCCCATCGTTTCCTTTGATTTTCCATTCGAAGCTGCATTGGATTTTCATGGCGATTTCCGCAAAACTTTCGACAGGTGCATCTCATTGGTACTCCTCTGACACATCAACGCTTTCTACATCGACACCAAGGTGCCATGCATTTTTCCATCCCCACAGGGGGTTGAGGTTTAGTTGTTGTTTTAAGTTTACCCCGAAAAATATGGACTTTACCCGATCTTCACAATAAATGAAAGATATCCTGCTGATGATAGTTCTAGGTAAATGAAAATGAAACCTGCTGATGTTCTCATGTTTGTTTTCCTTTAAACCCAAAACTTTGCAACACTTTCCCTGTTGTTTAAGCTAGCGGCCCTGTTAGCGACCCCATAGGAAAACACAATTTTCTAGTTTTGGGGGGTTTCGGGTGGGCGGGGGGTTGGGGGGTGCAATAACGTTTAAGAGCATTTGCATTTCTAGAAGATGCAATGTTACTTGACGTTGCTTGTAGGGTGCAGGTGATGCCGTGCTACTGAAAGGTGACTTCATCTAATGTAATTTATGCTACGGTACGTAATGTTGACTTCTCCTAACATAGATGATTTTTTGCTATGTCAGGTTAAGTTGAACTAGCATGCATCATTGTATGCTGCTTAAACAAATCTTGCGCTTGCACACATCTCTTGCACTCTCAGTGGATTGCGCTAACTTTGACGCTGACCTGCACTAATATACGTGATGTTACGCTACTTGCTTCTGATCGTAGGGCTTTCGGGGGGTGGGGGGGTGCAATACAATAGCGCTTGCATACATACAAGATGCTGCGCTACTTCACGTGACCTTCAGGTCGAATAAGATGAGATGCTACTTCAAACTAACCTCTTGTCACATACGTAATGCTCCGCTAAATCAAGCACACGTCATCTAACATAGATGTTGCTACGCTACTTGACGTCAACTTAAATTCAAATAAGATGTTATGTTACTTGAAGTTAACTTCATGTAACATAGATGATGCTACGCCACGTAACGTTAATATCATATCTCATATATAAAATATAATGTTATGCTATTAGAAGTTCACTTCATGTAACATAGATGATGCTGAGCTACTCAACGGTAATTTCATTTCAAATAATATATCTCTTGTGAAAATTTAGGTGTTTGTTTTTTCAAAAAAATAGGCCTGAAAACCGCAATTCCACTGGCCCAAAATGAAAAATGGTTGGCCTTCTTGAAAATACCAACAAATTTGAGGCCTTGAAATTTTCACTTCCACATAAAAATGCTCCGAAATGCAGGTTTTGAGCTCTTGCCATTTCGAACAATTTTCAAATTCCTCAGGGTCGCTATTGGCGCCGGTACCTTGTTTCAGGATGTTTCAGGTGTGTCTCAGCGTCAGCCAGGTACGTATGGCCCGCGAATCAAGGCGGGCCAAGCGGAATTTCCAGGTGCTGCGACGCCGCTGCCAGGCATGTTGGTCGCAGGGTTTCCCACATATTTATCGTGGTTTTAGTATGTTTGAATGGGGGTTTAATGGATTTTATAGTGGTTTTAATGGGATTGAATGGGATTTAATGGGATGTAATTGTGATTCTAATGGGGTTTAATGGAGATTTAATAGGTTTTAATGGAACTTAATGTCGCTAATAAGCTTGATTCATAGTGGTTTTAACCATCAAAACGGAGATTTGACGGGATTTAATGTGATTTTGTATGGGATATATAACTATCCATGACTATATGGGTGTGTCTGAAAATGGGTTGTATATCCCCAAATAGCAGAGTTTAGTGGGAAAAGTGGGCCGTGTGCTGGCATTGTTTGCAAGGTGAGCTCAATTACGCGTTTTCAACACGATCGAAACGATCGAAACATCGACTCCCTTGTCGTGTTATTTTGCATGAACCCGCAATCATCCACTGGTTGGTGGTTTGGAACCATGGAATTTTATGACTTTCCATTCAGTTGGGAATTTCATCATCCCAACTGACGGACTCCATCATTTTTCAGAGGGGTAGGTCAACCACCAAACAGTCCATGTTTTAGCGTGGAAGTTGCTTCTTTTGCTGGGATGCGCTTCATTGACAGTTCCCCGAGAACAAACCAGCGAGCCTCTTGAACGAAGTGCAGGCCGCAAAAGCGCACGCAATTTGCAGATGAACTGCGCTCAATTAGTACAAATCGGGTTGTATGTCCGCAATGCCCGGACACCAGACAACATGAACCCGGACAAGCGCGCAGGAATGAAGAAGTGGGATGAGCTTTCCATGACTCTCAAGACCCGACAGAGGCATCAAGCTCCACTGCTCAAATGTTCACAGATGAGCAATGTGAGGCCATCAAACCCGCATTGGAGAATGTAAGCCTGCTTCATCCGCAGTGTTGAAATGAGAATGACTTCGTGAAGAGCAGGAGCCATATTTATCCCATCTGCTGGTACCATGTCATATCACCGAAATATCCCAATCCCTTCCACCTCCAGCTTCTAGCTCCAACAGGTATATAGCATTATATAGCTACAGGATGCTACAGGAACAAACTCCAATTTGATGGGTTCCATGTCACATAGCGCAGGCCTCCTTAAACCTGTGCCAACATGTCCCAACTCACTTGTTTGTTACCCTTGATCCTCCAAGCTTGAATGGATTTTGATGCTTAAAACGACCAAAAAATATCCTGCTACATCCAAACCATGTCAACTTCCAAATAGAATGCTATATATATATACATGCGGTTAAATATGATCATGAAGTCATTTAATCAATTCGATTTTGGACACAAGCATGCCCCGTTAATCATGGATTGGAACGAGTCAAAAACCATCGTAGAAAGCAAACAACTTGAGTTAAAAGGCGATTTCATTGCTTAAATACATGGGTTTAAATCCTAATTGTGCAGCAACTCCTGTGTTTTATCCATGTTTTCTTAGCCGCTCTTCTGATCAAATCCATACTATGTTGTATAGCAAGACTCCCAATTCATGAAGTTGAATTCTCTTATTCTTTACGGTACTTCATTTAAG